AAATCCAGTAACCACTACTCATGTCCAAACTACCTCTAGCATACTCTTACACCAATAGTAACTTAGACAGGAAAGTCAACATAAAAACATCTGTCATGGTGCCTTTTTCAACCCCTAAAAAGTGAGGTTAAATAGATGCTGTCTATACACTGCTACGTCATTCCTTTATTTCATCATTTCTAAAAGTATAATTTTTGTCAAATAGCAGATTTCCAAACAGGCAGGCACCAAAGATTGCCCGTGCAAGAATTAGGAAGCCAGTCAGAACAGAAGTTCCAAAACACTTAAACACTTTGGGCCCCACCAAAATCTACAGACCAACATAGATTAGCAGTAACTTAAAATCTTCAAGATCCCATCAAATACAAAAAGAATGAGTAGAAACAGTCTTGCTTGTTCTTTTGATTTTAGTAGTCTGCTGGAGAATTAAACACAATAGGTGAGAACATCCTATTAAAAAGTGCAAATTTTAAACTGACAATTTCCATATCACACACAATTCTTCCTGAAGCAGCAGAAAACTGATCGTCGGGGCTTCTGCTACAGAACACACATCATCGAACGCCGTTAGCTGAAAGCAAAGTTGTTTCTCTTTCTGCTGATTCAAAGTCCCATCCTGCACATTTTAGCACGTGACTTACTATTGATAGTTGAAATTTTCTCTTCTTACTCAGAAATGTGGCTCAAACAAAATACCTTCTATTTGCAGTTGTTCGTTGCTCTGTTCTAGACAAAGCTTTTTTTCAACCCTTTTCAGTCTTAAGTAGCCAAAAGCTTCAAAATTTGTCTCAAGCACTTCATCTAACAAGCTCACTCTCCAACACAAACTACCACTAAAACATTCGCATTGCTCTCTTGAAAATCTTTGGCCAGGGAGTTTTATATTTTTGCAAGACAGTTCAAAGGATTTACCATTTAGGCAAAGAGAGACAATCACTCTCTCAGCACTGCTAGAGCATCTGACTGTTTATTTGGCTTAGAGTTTTCACATTTTAATGTTAATTTTTCAACTTGGATCTCTCAGTATACTGCTACTTAAGATCCAAAGCAAGAAAGAACCGTTTACTTCCAAGGGAGGTAAGTTACTTAGGAAAAAGTCCTCACATTAATTACAGTTGCTTTACTAGAAATTCTCCATCCATGATAGTTTCCTCTCACATTCTTGTGCCTTTTCCTAGTACCAATTCAGTAACAATTCCAGAAAAAGAAGATAAATACATATGTTTAATACTAATATTTAATATAGTTAATGTTGTGATCTCTTCACATAAAGTTTCTATTGAGCCAAAATATGTTTTTTTTAAAGAGAACTCTGACAGAAAGACTGCTTCATTCTCCCTGTACCTAGACTCCATAAAGCCTTTCCAATCTAGTACTACAGAAAATACTGTCAAGACCAAACAAGGAGTGCTGAATTCTTCATCTTGGGGTTTTCCATTTCCTTGAATTACATAAAATCTGCATATTCATTCAATTTTTTTCCTAACAATTATTTTGTAATCAGCGTATCACTGGGCAAATGCATTGCTCTAGTTCTTGTATGAGCTCCCAGAGAAAAAACTGAGAAGAAAACTGAGCAGTGAGAGAACTGTCTGTGGGACTTTCCACAAAGTGGTGTTCCCATGAGCTGAGCCAGAAGGCCTGGAAAGAAGCAACCCTCTGCTCTGAGCACAGGAACGTCATT